CGGAAGGATCGCCGGAGCCCAGCAGGTCGAGGCTGCGGTGGCCGAGAGCGGCCACTGCGCTCCAGTCTGGGCGACAGCGTGAGACTCCAACTCAAAAAAAAAACCAAAACAAAAACCCGACTAATGAATGCCACCCCCATGTTACAGATGTGGAAACTGAGGCCCAGACAGCTAAATTACTTGCGCAAACAACCAGATTGAGTGACAGGAGTCCAGCCCAGGTCTGCCTGATGATATTATACTAATTCAACTTGACTGAAGCCAGGCGCATTGGTTCATGCCTGTAATCCCAGTACTTTGGGAGGCAGAGGTGAGAGGACTGCCAGAGTCCAGGGGTTCAAGACCAGCCTGGGCAACTTGGTGAGACCTTGTCTCTGCAAAAACTCCAAAAATTGGCCGGGCATGATGGTACATGCCCGTGGTTCCAGCTACTTGGAAGGCTGAGGTGGAAAGATCTCCTGAGCCCAGCAGGTCAAGGCTGTGGTGGCCATGAGCGCGCCACTGCATTCCAGCCTGGGTGACAGAGTGAGACTCCAACTCAAACAAAAACAAAAACAAAAAACAACCAAAATACCCCAACCTGACTGAGTACTCTCCACATGCCAGGCTGTGTTTTAGACACTACGGATTGATTCATTTAACCTTGATAACAACTCTATTTCTGCCAATGCTGCTATCATTCCCATTTCACAGATGAGAAAAGTGAGTCCCAAAGAGGTTCATGCCCTTGCTCAAAGTCATAGTATGAGCAGAGCCAGGTTTCAGGAGTTTGCAAAAGGTCCCCCTGGCCTCATGTGGGGAACAGGGAAAGTTGAGAAGGCTGCTGAGGTGACCAGGGAAGACCGGACTAGGGGAGCGGTGGGTGAGGGGATTTCTGGGTAGGTTTGGAAGGCAGGAAGGACAGGGCTTGGGCAGGTGCACTTAGTTGGGGTGTGGTAAGAGTGGGAGGAGCCAGCCCTGTCCTCCCAGACTCCGGTTTGAGTAATGGGGCAGATGGGAGTGCTGTCTCCTGAGATGGGAAGAGGGGAGGGTGGGATTTTAACTCAGCACTCTGGCTCCAGGGCCCCTGCTTCTAACCAGTGGGCAATGGTACCAGACAAATATTTACTAAGACCTCACTGTGTGCCAGGCACTGCTGAGGACACAGGGAACGATGGTAGGAGTACAGTGAGCCGGGCTTGGTGGCTCAGCCTGTCATCCCGCGCCTTGGGAGGCTGAGGTGAGTGGATCGCCTGAGCCC